TTACTACCACACCCATTCCTTGGTTTGGCCACCCTGGGTGAAATATCTATACCCTCCCAAATTAGAGGCTATGGGGAACAGAGGTCTAAGAGAGCTGGTTTTGTCTGTCTGGAACTGAAACCAGAACCACTGTCCTGTGCATTCACTTCTGAAGAAGTCAGAGAAGCACAGAGCTTCCCAAGCAGGAAATTCCCAGTATAATCCAAAAAGCTCAGCAGCCCTAGAGATAGCCCCAAAGGAAGGAAAAACCACAGGAGCAGAGTTAGCATCCTGAAAGCCAGGGCAGAATTCACAGACTTAGGCCAAGTCATTGTTTACAGGGACCTCACTGAAGCCACTGCAAGGGGCTCTCATCTCAGACAGATCCCTTCATAACACCAACTACATACAGACAGCCCTGGGCCACAGGAAGAAGGAGCCATTTGCTACCACCTGCCTATGTCCACTCTTTATCCTGCAGTCCAGAGAATAAATCACTCCTGTTCTGGGCAGCCAGACCCCTGGCTGGTGAGGCAGACCATCTAGGTACTTGTCTCAATTCTTGTGCCTTCTAATATGGGGATCTCAGGCACACTCCTCAACCTCCACTTCGAGACATGTAAACGGAATGACTCAATGATTCTAAGTTCATCCTACATTCTAGCATTTAGTTTTTAACAGGCGAAATTAATAAACTACTGTAAACCCTTATTAGTTTGTTCACAGTGGTGCTTCTGACATGTAAGGCAGGCCACGGAGCCTCCGCAAGGTCTCCATGGGCCTAAATACTTACCCCTACTTCAACATATCATGTCTTCAAAGCAAACAATAAGCTTATTTTCCTTTAGGGAACTGTCTCTCCCCAGACTGCCATCTCTGTACTAGGTACCCTTGGCCTGGCCAAGGCTCCAGTTCAGGATTCCCTACAAGAATCCCAGGAGAGGGCTGGGAGGATGGAGGGCAGGGGCCTCCTACCAGGTGAAAACTGGGGGTGGTAGCATTTTCCCTGCAGCCAGCCAGCCACACCCACAGACACATGAGGCCATAGATCCCCCTTTATCAAAGGGCACTTTGAGTTGGATTTTTGACCTTTATAATTGAAGAAGTTGAACTGACACAATCTTGCACACACATACTACCATTTTCCATTCCACTTAAAAGAATTTTAAAAAGTCCCTGATTGAATCACTTTGCCATTTGACACAAAAGGGCTGACCTAGACTTGTACTTGAAACTCCCATCCTTGATAGGTCAACCCAGCTTAGAGGGCCACAAGAACAGAAGGGGCCTGGGAAACAATACTCTGGAATTCCCAGCAGTAGCTCATTCTGGGCAAGACTAAAATCCTTCATTGGCCAGGGACACTACCCCTATGTACAATCAATAAAGGAGCCTTTGATATGCATGGATTTCCAGGGTGGCCTATGGTCAGCACTGCCCACTGCCAGAGTCCCCCAACCACAGGAAAGACTCATTTGTACCTTTTGTTGCCTAGCCATGCCCTAAACCAGCTGAAAACAGAACACAATCCTGGACATGGAGGGCTGTCTCTCCAACACTGCTGCTCAACCTCTAAGTATCATCTCTGACTTTTCAAATGATGCCAGTCACACTCCCTGAACACGACTCCTTAGATGAGGTTTCTTTTTGTTTTGTTTTTTTTTGGTACCAGCGATTGAATGATTAAATTCAGGAGCACGTAGCCACGTCCTCAGCTTGTCTTATTTTGAGACAGGGTCTTGCTAAATTGCTCAGGACCTTGCTAAGTTACTGAGGCAGGCTTTGAACTTGTGATCCTCCTGCCTCAGTCTCTTGAGCCACTGGGATTACAGGCATGCTCCTTGCCTGGATGATGTATCTTAGAATCCCCAAACTTGAAAAAACTGCCCCAACCAAACTCACACATATTAAGAATTTCAAACCCAGTCCTACTTCTATATTCCCAATTTCTGGGAAAGGAACCACACCATCCATTTAGCCCTGAAACATAATAGTCATCTGGGACCCTCCCTTTCCGTGACTTCCCACAGCCAACCTATTATAAAACCCAGGTTTATTTTTTTTTTTAACCATCTGAATCTCTAATCTTCCAATTTCTCTCCACAACTACAACCACCCATTCTATCCAAGAAATTGTCATCCTTCATCTGCAGTAGCCCCCCAGCTATTAAACCCCAGAATCTACAAAAGAGATGCCCACCATGTTTCTTTCCACAGGGAAGCCCAAGTAATCTTCTCCAATGCAAATCCCATCAGATTCCCACCTCCAACTCCTTCCAGCAAAGCAGACAGCCCCCCCCCCATGCTCTGGGGCAAAGGTGGGACTCCCTAAATACCCACAGAGCCCAGGTCTGCCTGGCTGAATAGTAGGGACAACTTGAGACCAAAATGACCCAGAGAGGTCTGAGAATCCCTGCTTAGCCCAGAGCCTTGACCCCTCTCCTTGGATGGCTTCAAATTCCTGGGTCAGGCTCTGGATGGACTCAGTCTCACCAGGATTGGCCCCCTCCCCCAGTGCAGATCTCCTCTGACCCCAGAGGGAAAAGGGAGTGGTACCAGGCAGGGGAAACCCAGCTGGGCTGAGGCCAGGGGCTGCTTATTTCAAGAACAGCAGATCAAACAAGAGCCTCACAATAGGCTGGCAGGAGCTGTGAGACCTCCCAGAGCAGGCAAGTCTATCTCTTCCCTCTTATCACACTGACCCCTGGCCACCTGGCAGTCTGTGGAGAACAAACCATCATTAACAACCTCCCACCCGCCCCCCCACACACACACACCTCTCCAGACACAATTCTATGTGACCAGCCCAGCCTGGTATCTCTGCCAGAAAGCCTGCCCTTCTTCCCTGCCAGGGTGTGGCCTGGGGCTTATCTCTGGTCAGACCCCCCTGTCCTGGGCAATGATCCAAGAAATCTTATGCTCTGCTCAAACTTATCTCCTCAGGGTCCCCAAATACCCATGCCTTTTCTGCACAGTGGTATGTGTGGCCCTTTCCTTACCACCTTCCCTGTCTACTGTGAGACCCTACCCTCTCCTCCCAGGTAGGTCCTCAACTCCTAGCAAATGTACCACCTGGTATGATCAGCCTGAGATCCCACCTCCTACCCTATCATTGGGAAAACCTGGCTAGAGCAGAGCTTAGTGTGTAAGGAGGAGGGGAATTTGGGATAGAAAAAACAGGAACCCTATTAGCCATCTCCCCAGGGCCTAATTGTGGCCAGTGTAAGAAGGGAAGAATGATAAGAAACCAGACAGGTTTTACTGCCTGAACCTAGGACAGAGTTGGAGCAAGGACTGAGAGGGGGATGAGGAAATCCTCACAAAGGGAATAACTACTAGCTGCAGGAGTCTAGGTTCTTCAGAAGTGCCAAGGCCGGCTGGCTGCTGCTTAATGCATCCAAGCGGCTAAGAAGAAAGGTCAAGCCAATTTCCACAGTGGCATCCTGGGCCCCCAGCTCTACCTCTGCACTCAGGATGTGGCACTCCTCTGTCAGGCAGACCAGATAATTTGAGAGCAAATTCCTAAGCCATTCTGTAAAATTCTTTTTTTTGCAGTACTGGGGATTGAATCCTGTCCTCACATATGCTAAACAAGTGCACTACCACTGAGCTACATCCCCAGCCCTCTTTTAAAATTTTATTTTGAGGGACTGGGGTTGTGGCTCAGTGGTAGAACGCTTGCCTAGCACATCCAAGACCCTGGGTTCGATCCTCAGCACCACATAAAAATAAATAAGTAAAAGGTATCGTTTCCAACCACAACTAAAAATTAATTAATTAATTAATTAAAAAAATAAATAGGGGCTAGGGATGTGGCTCAAGTGGTAGCGCGCTCGCCTAGCATGCATGAGGCACTGGGTTCGATTCTCAGCACCACATAAAAATTTTTAAAAATGAAGATATTATGTCCACCCAAAACTGAAAAATAAATATTTAAAAATAAATAAATAAAATTTTATTTTGAGTGGGGCACTGTGGTACAAACCCATAATCCCATGGCCCACACCTGTGAGTCTAGTGACTTGGGAGTCTGAGGCAGGAGGATCACAAGTTTGATGCCAGTCTCATCAATTTAATGAGGCCCTAAGCAACTTAGGGAGACCCTGCTTCAAAATGAAAAATTAAAAAGGGCTGGAGACATAGCTCATTGGTAAAGCACCCCTAGGTTAAATCTCCAGGACCAAACAAATTTTTTAAAAATTATTCTGAGACAAGATCTCCCTAAATTGCCCAGGCTGGCCTTGAATTTGTGCCTCAACCTCTCAAGTTGCTGAGATTACAGGAGTGTGCCACTGAGCCTGGTTTTTCTTGCTGGAAATTGAACCCAGGGCCTCAAAAGGCTATCACTGATTTACATCCCCAGTTCTCTTAATTTTTTTTTTCAAAAATGAAGACTCTTGAAACCCAGAGAGGGCAGTGACTTGTCTTGGGTTGAGGAGCACTGAATCCCCTGTGGGTAGCTAAGGCTCTCCATAGTTTACATGTACGTGACCAGACTAAGCCACAAACCATGAAAATTGAGCCCCCTTGAACCATCCAGGCAAACAGGCTATTGCCCCTTTGGAAGAATCTAACAGCCCTGCCCTGAGGCTCCCAGGGCTGCTTTGGGGGCTGTCCACCAAGGGCCTGCTGGCTCCTCTCCCCATTCTATATAAGGTGAATGGCAGGGTCGGCCTGCAGATCTGGTATGGTCAGGAATTGCTAGGACTGACAATGTGCATAGAAAATGCCCTCCAAAGTCCCTCGCCCAGGTTGGAAGGGCGTGAAGAACACAGACAGCTGTTACCGTCTGTGCAAAGCACAGGAAATGCCTCTTGAGAGATTAAAACTCCCTTTCATCTTAGAGTTTTGCCACTGTTGCTTTAAGGTCAAGTATGGATTGCTTTTCAGCCACTAAGGAAATTCCTTCCTCAAACAGGTGCCATTTTGGTCTTAGGCTGAACCCTTCGACACCATTTATCTGCTTGACATTTCACAGCATCTTCCTAATGAAGTGCCCTCTCCACTGGAATGGGAACAGGGTCCCCATTACTCTCCTCACCCCCTTTAGGTTTCATGTCTCCAGCACCATCTCCCCTTCCATGGCACCCGGGAACTTCTCCTGAGCTACGCTGGAGGCCCCAGGAATCAGCCAAAGGTTAAATAAGCATGAATCCAAGGAAATACTAAACCTTCTGGGACAGGAAGGAACAGAGAAGGCCAACCACCAGAAACTCCCTTGTGGGTGGCAACCCAACCCGGGCTGGACCTCACACAGCTCCCTAGAGGACCTAATGGGGCTGGAAGGAGGGCCCGAGGCTCTGAGGAGCTCCCTCTTGCCTTTCCACCGGGCCTCACAGTCTTTGGTGGCTGTCTGTTTTCCTGTGCAGCCTAAGGACTCAAACACTGACCCGCAGAAGCGTTCATTTCCTCCTGACACTGGTTCCAAGTCACCTTCTCCATCAAATAACAGGTACTTTACTTTGTCTTTAACTGGACTTGGATGGGAATGGGGGCCACTTACAGGACAGGAGAGACTCAACATTCTACTAATGTCCCTTTCAAACTCAAAGGAACCTGGCAAAAACAGCAAGAGGGACTGGAGTGGGAAAGGCATGGGGGGTGGTGACTGGGGTGAGAAGATGGTCACCTCACCACTGCAATTCCCTTCCCTATGCCTCTCCCCACACTCTTCCTCTCACCTTCCCCTCTCCACAACCCCGTTCCCCTCCAAATTCTCTTTAACCACGAAAACAAATAACTGGTTGATTTTTCCTCACCAGAGCGGTTCCCTCTAGACCAATTAGCTATCTGCAGTTGCTGCTGGCTTCTTCCTCTGAAGGCTGCTGACCTGCCAGGCTGAGGATGCTGCCTACCACGGCATCAGGATTCAGGAGAGAAGAGGCAGCGCAGTGTGAGGGCTGCCTCCTGGGGTCCCAGGGCCGGTCCATACCTCCAGGGCCCTGGAGCCCTGCAAGGCTAAAGAGGAGAGGTGACTTCATTTGAGGATGGCCTCATTCTTGAGCCCTAACTCACACAGCGGTGAGGCTGCCTTCTGTGTCCCTCCTGCACATCCATACCCTATCTTAAATAGGAAGGTAGAAAAGAAAAAAAGATGCTAAGGACACAGCTCCTAACTTAGGCAGAGTTGAGAAACAGAGGCCTCCTGGGTAGCTAAAAATGCCTTGAAGGCAAGAGACCCAAGTCCATTGGTGAAGAGGGTCTTATCTACCTGCACTAAGAGGCTGGGCCGAGGCCCCTCTTAAATTTTTCAACATCAGATGCCAGAACTATGTGTGTCGTGTTGTAATAATATTAGTATTATACAAATAAAAAGTTAGCATCCATATTAAAATGTACAGAAATGATATTTTTTTTCTCTAGATTTCCCTCATCTCTTGTCTTTTCTTGGTAGTGCACCTTGCATTAGTAGATGGGATGATATCACAGAGATTAGAATTGTGGGAAACAGCCCTTCTCGCTCCAGGAAGATGACCTTCTGCTCTGGGAACCACAGGGATAACATGTCCTTCCACATCACTCCTCCTGAGTGGACCCTGTTCCCTCCTTCCTGACCAGTCCTGTAGGAGGAAACTCCCCCAGGGCTCAGCTAGGGAAGGCTAATGTGGCGGAAAGCCCAGTCTGTGTCCTAGGCGAGATCTGCAGTGGCAACATGAAGGCTCGATGGACAACATGTTGCAATTACAATAATGATTTATAAATAAACAAGAAGAAGTACTTGAGAAAGGCTGGTCGGGGACACAGGCAGCTGTCCCTGGGGAGTTCACCCTAACTGGAGGAAAAAAAGCCTGTTTTCCCCAGATGCAGGGAAAGTTCAGACTCTCTCCTTGTGAAATGTCACATGGAGATATCTGTCCTGATAGTCAGCAAACACTTGTTGTTAACAAGCTTCTGAATATAGAGAGAGCAAAACAGTAGTCCCCAGAGAGTTGGGCCAGGCCCTTTCCTTGCTAAAGGGTCAGGTACAAGGGAACATGGGGGCGGGGGAGCTGAGAGGCTTGACAGGGAAGGCAGAAGCCCATCCTGGGCTGAGGTGTGGAGGGAAGAGACATGACAGGGCTGAGCTGGCCACAAGGCCCCAGCTGCTTTCAGGATGTAGAGGGCCTCTAGGGTCTGTGGCCCCACCTCCTCAGAGTGAGTCCCCAAACCTCAGGAAGCTCCAGGTCAGAAATAATGAGCTCTAGGATTCTGGGTATGCAGTTAGCATCCGCATGAAATCAAAGGCACATACTGCAAACCCTTCCTTCTCCTGACTGCCCATTTCAGCTAAAGAAGTCAACCTTCATCACCTAGGCACTGAACCGTCATATTCCAGCCAATCAAGTGTCTGTTCCAGGAGATGATACCGACTTTCACAGCCTCTCTTGAACCAGTCCCCTCTCTTCCATTTCTACAGCCAAGTTCCAGCCTTCATTACATTTCACCTGCACCCTATCTGAGCTTTCTGTATCCTCCCTCCCTTCTCCCTGATAACCCAGCCGTCCCTTGCTGCACATCAATCTGCCCTGGGCCTGCTCAGAAACTTGTCACATTAAGTAACCTCTCCGCCACCTGCCAACTCAAGTTCTTGTCTAGCATCCTTCTGGACTGATCTCTTGCTGTGTCTACAATGTCCATTTTCTCTTCTTCTAGGGACATTTTTTGGGGGGAGGGGTGGGTACTGGGGATGGAACCCAGAGTCTCATGCATGCTAGGCAAACACTCTACCCCTGAGCCACATCCCCAGCCCTGGGACTTCCCTTTTTGAAGACAGTGGGGAAGGACTGCCTATCATGCCCCGAGTCCTTCTTTCACTAAGGGAGGGCACAAGGCCTGCGCTGGGCCAACCAAACACTTCCTCTCTGGAATGTGAAACTCAAGCTGTGGTGATAAAATTACTGGGCACAGCTGGTACAGATTTATCCTGGTAAAAACAAACAAAAACAAAACAATACAACAGATTTTTTTTTTTTCCTGGCAGCAGTGGTACCCTCACAAAACTAGTCATTGCTTCCTGCCACACCCACTCTGAGACCCTGAAGGGGATGAGGGTTGATTAGTCATCCTACTAATTCTGGTAGTTCTCACAGCCTTCCAGGGAAGCCCTTTCCTGCTAAAGTCTGAGCCCTAACACTTGTCCTGTGCTGGGGCTCAGAAATACCCCAAAGGCCTCAGAAGCAAAGTTTCTCTCTGATCTCTCCTGTTTCCCTGTCTACCCCCAAGGCAAGCCATAAAAATCAGAATTTCTCATCCCCAAAGCAGGTCATAGAAACTAGATCCCCTTTTCTCCAAAGCAAGTCATAAAGCCTAAAAATATTATTTTAACCTTCCCCTGCCTGCTTTTCTGTCACTGAGTTGGACATAAAGAAATTCTCTGACCTATCTTGTCTGATAGTAGATCATAATACTTCCATTTCCAAAGGGGTCTTGCCCCATGCCCAGGAGGAAGGAACCCTACACAGAGAGGCCAAGAAGCATCTGAATGGACGAGTCCTGCTGGGTTTTTACACTCAGTATATTAGCATTAGTCACATCCTTTTGTTTAATCATATTTCTTCTTTTTTCCAGCGTTGGGGATCAAACCCAGGGCCTCATACATGCTAGGCAAGTTCTTTAACCATTGAGTTACATCCCCAGCCCTTTTTAAATTGTTTTAATATTATTTTTTAGCTGTAGTTGGACACAATACTTTTATTTTACTTATTTATTTTTATGTGGTGCTGAGGATGGAACCCAGGGCTTTGTCCATGCTAGGCAAGCACTCTACCACTGAGCCACAACCCGAGCACCCCCAGCCCTTTTTTAAAATCTTTTTTTGTACAGGGGATTGAACCCAGGGGCGCTTAAGCAGAGGCTGGCTTTGAACTCGAGATCCTCCTGTCTCAGCCTCCTGAGCTGCTGAAATTATAAGCATGTCCCACCACGCTCTATATATATTTAGAGACAGAGTCTTGCTGAGTTGCTTAAGTCCTCACTAAATTGCTGAGGCTGGTTTTGAACTCTATCCTCCCGGCTTAACTCCTGAGCCTGTAGGAGGAAACTACACCTCTGGGATTACAGGCATGCACCACTGCATCTGACTCCTTTTTAAAATCTTGAGACAGGGTCTTACTAGTTGTCCAGACTGGCCTCAAACTTGTGTGATTCTCCTGCCTCAGCCTCCCGAGTTACTGGAATTACAGGTGTGCACCACCACATTCAACTTGTGCAATCACACTTCTACATGCCTGTCCAAGCTTCATTCAACCTAAGCATGAGAATAGATAGTTCCTAGGGTCTTTGGGTCTTCAATCTGCAGGCTCCCATGTTATATAAAATTATGGTCAAATAAATTATGTTTTTATCTTGTTAACTTTTTAGTATAGTTTATGAACTTTTTGGCAAAGGGTGCCAAGAGRCTTTTTAAGGGCAGGAAGGGGATCACCCCCTTTTTTGCCCTTACATCTGCAAATAACAAAGAAAACCTTCCCTATGCTCTAGTAGGAAGGGACAACTCTCTAAATGTGCCCTGTGATGACCTCTCTGCACCTGGTAGCCTACATACCTCTCCAGCCCATAGGCGCTGCAGGAATTCTACACATCAAGGACTGTCCCCAGTACTTCTTCTGAGCCCTCTATATGAATCACTTCTATCTCTTACAAGCCACTGGCTCTACCATCTRCCTTCCACTGTAGATATACTTGTACTCTTGTCTTATCCTCCTCCCACCTCGACTTGATCGTTGTTGTCTCTTTCATCATGCCCAACACAGTTCCAGGTCCCCAAAATGCATCAGACTTTTKGGGACAGACAACCTCAAAGGACAATTACAGGTTTGCTGACCACGATAGCTAAGTGACTAAAAGCATGGGATGTGCTGTCAGAAAGCCGTAAGTTTGAATCCCAGATCCTGCTCCTAGCTGTCTGTATTTTTTTTTTATTATTTTTTAGATGTTGGTGAACCCTTATTCATTTATTTTTATGTGGTACTGAGGATTGAACCCAGTGCCTCACACATGCTAGGCAAGTGCTTTACCACTGAGCTACAACCCCAGCCCAACTGTCTGTATTTTAATAAGTCTCACACGATGTGTAAATCTCAGTCCTTCACCTATGAAACAGTGACAATGATGCCAATTGCACACAATGTTAACTGGGAGGATTCACTAACACATGAGCACATCTAGCACAATGCCTAGCTAGCGGAAGTGCTCAATGAACAGCAGCCCATTGTTGGAGCTATTAGTAGAAACTGGTCTAGCAAATATTTAGACAGAGGGTCAGAACCAGGAGTCTTGACTGCTGTGTGACCCACAGTATATTTCTCTGTTCCTCTGTAATCCTCTCTAGATCTATAGCTGCCTTCTATCTATGTCTACCTCTCACTGTCCTGTGAATAGCAGATATTAAATGTTTTACAAATCCCCATGTAATTCTTCCTGCTTGTGTAAATTTCAGATTCACTGGGCATGGTGGCACATGTCTCTAATCCCAGCAATTTGGGAGGCTGAGGAAGGAAGACCACAAGTTCAAGACCAGCCTTAGYAATTTAGTATGGCCTAAGCAACTTAGCGAGACTCGGTCTCAAAATAAAAAAGATAAAGGACTGTGGATGTGGCTCAGTGGTTAAGTGCTCCTGGGTTCAATCCCCAATACCAAAAAATAAATTAAATAAAGAAATTTCAGATTCCCAGCATTCTGACCAGTGTGCAGCTGTGGCAGTACCTCACCTGGCAGGAACATGGATGCACTTGTTCTGGGAGATGGGCATAAAGCACATGAGGGCCTGGCTCAGCTTCTGTGTCACTTCACTGTGTCCATAAAGCCACTCTTTTACAAAGCCCCGAGTCCTAAATGTCCTGGTTGGTCATGGGACTTGCTTTCAAATGACAATAGAGCTATGGTTAGAGTAGGACTGGCAGTTCGGGCACCACAAGTCACCCCTCTCATTAACCTAGCCAACCCTAGGTCRTTAGAATGAAAGAATGCAGCTGCCAAAACAAGGTGGGGAAGTAAAGAGGAAGGAAGTCTCTTTTAAGGCTGTGGTTGTGGCTCAGCTGGAGAGCCCTCGCCTAGCACGTGTGAGGCCCTGGGTTCCATCCTCAGCACCACATAAAAACAAATAAACAAAATGAAGGTATTGTGTACAACTAAAAAATAAAATATATATAAAAAAAGACTTTACACTTGCCTAGATTAATTTGCCACACAACTTTAATGGCCCCCAAACATTTGTTTTCAAAATATTAGCCCCCAAAAGCTGGGTAGAGATGCAAATTTTAGACCCACACAAACGAACTGG